AAAAAAAAAAAAAAAAAAAAAAAAAATTAACTATGATTTTTACTATTGATTCTGGTGAGTGGTTAACCACATGCAGTATTGACTAAATTATATGTTTTGAAAAGTACCATTGTCCTGTCATAGTGATTTTATATGTGATTGTACAAGATGAAGCAGAAAAGTTGGCTTGATGAGACAACAATGCATGACCAGACTGCAAACTCATTACAAATGGCTGCAGGCAGGTATGGCAATCACCAGTTTTATTGATGAAAAAGAAAACATTGGGGCTTGGATCATAACAGTAGAACAACACGGTAGGGTTAATTAATACATGCACCAAACTGGAAGCAGCAGACGTTAATTGAAACTTGAATTGAATCCAGGGCAAGGTGAAAGTGATTTTGTAGATATATACCTGTCATCCCCCATGAGTCAGCCTCTGCAGTCTTTTTGTCATGAGCACATCTCATTAGCCACACGTCAAGGAGATGCGCCGGTTTACCTGAAGATTAAGATCCACTACTTCTTGTTCCATTTAACTCAGTTCAGTGGAGCACAGTGACTGAATAATGGACAAATATTGATTGCAGGTACTTGTTCTTTTATTTATTTATGAAAATGGTTTGGAAAATTGTTTCATGGAGATGTATAACACAACAGGAAAAAGTTACTTTTACACGGCTTGGCTTTCTGACTGGTGAACAAATGCGTAGCTCTTGTTAGACTGTGAAATATGAGTCTGTGTAAATTTAGGGTTTTCTGTATTCAGAATTTTCATTAGAAAATGGAGAAAAAAATGAGATTCCTTTGTTCTGATAGTGTTAAAAGAAAGAAATATATGACACTGCCCCTTGGGTTAATTGCTACACCCAGTTACTGACAAGAAAATTACTAGTTATCAATCGAAAAATCCAGTTTATATGTTGTCCATCTTACTTTCATATGGCCTTGTGGCATTTGTCAAATGACATGCTCACCTAATATTAAAAAAAGCCCTTTTCTATATCAAAACCTGTCAAAGGACTAGACTAGAGCTGTAAACAACAAGTAATTGATGTAAAGTAGGTTATGTTTTAAATACATAATCTCACACTATGTGCTTTATAAAAAATTATATATGTAAATGGCAGTTTGAGGAGAATTATAGTATTATTAGTATAATTATTAAATATTATTATTTACACTTATCAGTATAATAGTAAATGTACTAAATTAAGCAGTCAAGTTCTGCCAGGTTCAGTGGGAAGCACTATATCACAGGACATTATATTTATTTGTGGTCTAATACACACCTTCAACTGTCAGTGGGAATTAAAATTCACTGCATGGCCACGATGAAGATGATAGAGATACCATGCTCAAGAAATGACAGGCATTAGAAAACTGTGATTGCATCTTAAGCACTTCCCTGGGTTTCACATTAATGAGGAAAGTTGAAACGGCAACATGTAAATTTTACTATAAGTAAAAGCTGATTAAGTAATATGGTAATGACTTGATCTTTTCAATGGGAAAAATTTATCATCTTACAGATACATTTAATTTTGGAATCATAAAATCATATTTCTATATAGCATCTGTGGTGCTTTTACTGTATAGAATAAAACTGTTGGGTAGCTTGCTTTTGTTAATGCACCACATCTGTAAAATTTGCAATTTTTTTCATTAAAAAGATTGAGACATTACATTTAAGTTTTTTAATATCAAATATCCTGTTAGGAAAAACTTACATAAGGATCTTTCTTCCAATCCACATTATATACCAATTTGTATGATATTACATTTATGTTATTCATCATCATTCCTCTTCGTCCCGTGTGGGACATAAGGCCACATTTGTTATTACTTGGCTGTTAATTATTTAGATTTTGTATCATACAGGTCAAGAAATACACAGTTGTCATAACTGCTACTGTTCAATATTTTTTAATTCAGATGAACAAGAAAATATTAATGGAAAATGGACCACCATTTCTCATTATAAATTTTGTGTCCTCAACACACACACACACACACACACACACACTGACGGAAAAGGGTGGATAGCTGTTGTGAGTGTGAACTTCTGTTGCTCACTATACCAGTACAAATCTGTGAATAATGTCCCCACTGCCATTCTTCTCTTTTTCAGACACCTTTACAATATGGGTAATTTGAAGTCCAAAATTTTGAAGAGGGACAAAGAAAGGCAAAATGCTAAAAACAAAGGTAAAGAACTGGTTGAGGCTGCAGCCAATGGACGTTTATCAGACCTTGACATTATAGTCCAGGATGAAGAATACAAGGATGCTGTCTGTGGCAAAGATGGATTCACAGCTTTACTTTTGGCTTCATCAAAAGGTTATGCTGACTGTGTTCTCCATCTTCTTCAAGCTGGGGTTAACTTTAGATATAATGCAGAATGGTCAGATAACACCCCCATGATCATGGCAGCAGAGCAGGGGCATGAGGTTTGCCTTCAAATGTTAGTCCAGGCAGGAGCTGATGTAAATGAAGGGAATAAAACAGGACAGATGCCATTACACCAAGCTGTGACAGCAGGAGCATTAGAGTGTGCAGAAATCCTCCTTAGCAATGGTGCAGACTTGAACAGCAGAGATGCCAAAGGAGAAATGGCACTTCATATTGCTGCTAGAAATGACTTTGATCAAATTGTTGAACTGTTAATAGATCACTATGGAGCTGACATAAATGCGCAGGATAAGGATGGGGCCACTCCACTGCATGCTGCGTGTGATGCTGGGGGCTATGAGTGTGTAGAATTACTCCTCCATCATAAAGCCAAATATGGCATTGTGGACAACAATGGTACCACCCCACTGTTCCGAGCTTTAGAAGCTGGCAAGATTAGTATTGCCTTTCTACTGATGAAGGAAATATTTGATGTAGAACTCCCTAATGGCTTGCAAGTGTGTGAAAATCCCTTTGGGGTTCTATTTCACATCATAGAACATGTCCTGAAAACACAATTTTCAGACGAACTCCATGTTATCTTGAACCATCTTCTTTTCTACCACGAAATAGATCCGGAGTCATTACGCTGCATCATTGTCCCGGTCATAAAATCCATAGATGTTACAGCCCTTAATCACTTCTACTCAGATAGCTGGCCCAAAATATTTTGCAGCCTTGTCATAAACAGATTCTTTTTCATCATCAAAACTCTGACAGTGGCTGGACAGGAGTGGCTGGGCCAGGAGATGCACTTTCTGCAGAGTAACAGTCCTGGGTTATACCGCTGGGTGCTGGCACACCAGGAAGGCATCCCCAGTCTCCAACACCTCACCCGTCTTCACATTCGCAGGCAACTGGGCTGTAACATAGGCTTTGGTGTGACAAAACTCCCACTGGAGCAGCACCTTAGAGACTACATCATGTTGAAAGAATGTGATATGTTCTGATATTTTAAACATAAAATTGGACTCTTAGTGACAAGGCTAGCTGGGTCTGGACTAGCTCGTTTTTAACTGTTGTGCTGCCTTCTGTACATTGTCAAAAGATTTTAAGTGCTTTACTTTGCTTAACTTTGATTTGAGGTACTGTCTCTTAAGCATTGGAGTGAAACAATTGCATTTTGTATCCATAACAAAATTCAGGGTTCATATTAAAAGATGCATACAAAGTAAATTTTTTGTCACAAAAACCGACCAGATGTCAGCATACAGTTTCAAGTCGTATAATTTTACCCAAAAATGATATTTGAACGGATTTTTCTGCTAGCATGCTATGCTGTATGTCAATGGGGCAGAAAAGTAGGTCATGAAAGTAGGTTAAATTTCCGACAAAAAATTTAAAGAAAGGAACAGTCTAAAGCTCTTTTATGGCTGATCGAGTGATCTGTTCAGTTTATCCCTTGGCATGTCAAATTCATTTGAGTCTTGTAAGAAACTAGTAGAAGTGGTTTACATGTGTTACTGGGGATCCATGCTCCACCGATGCTCGGTTTGTATGTACCTTTAAGTATGATCTCCCTTGAGGCAGAAAAAAAGGAAGTTGTACCTGGTTATTGATCAGTAAAAACACGAGAAATAATGAAGACTTGAGGCACGCACTTTTATTGTATGTCTGTATAATCAGTTTTTTTTATCATGTAGAATTTCAATAACACATACATAATAAGGTTTTAGGATCACTTCTGTAATGAAGAACCCATTATCAGTCTGTGCTTTGTTAATTCCATTTAAGGCCCTGCCTTTAATCAAGGTGCATCCCTAGGTAGATGTGGGGTAAAACTGACAGTTCATCAAAGGGATATTTGGACAAGAGAAATTACCTTACCCCACCTCAACCTGGGTATGCACCTTAATTGAAGGCAGGCAACATGATTTAGGGGTGGAGGTTTAACAACTGACAGTTGATCAAAGCTATATCTGGATGATGGAGATTTATCTGTGTACCCCACCTCTACCTGAGATGCATTTTGATTACTAGTAAAGGCATACACAATTTTTCTCAATATCACATGTTCGTTAGAAAGGGGGGGGGATAGCTCTTCTAAAATTTTTTTTCAACTACACATGAAGTAGTAATTTCATGCTCTGCACCGATCCTTGTGCAATATAAAACAAACATCAACAGTGAAACTTGATATCATTTTATTCTATCATCCAACAACCACAAAGTCCATACATATGGAAATAAAGCAACCATTTAATAATTAATGTTCTCTGAAATGAGGACTTCAATCAAATTCAACTACAAAAGAAAACTTCAGTTGTCAAATTCTATTAGGTGCACAAACCAACCATGTGTCTTGTTTTTCACTGTTGTGGTGCCATTTCAGATGTGATTCAGCAATCATGCCATACAGGTGTTCTTAACATTGTCATTCTACTAGCATTCTAATGTGTTAACTTCAAGTCTAACTGACAATGTAACAGATGTACCATTCCCAGTAAAGTCCAATCTATGTTATTAGCATATGCTTGATGTTGTCTGGAGGGTTGGGGTTCTTGGGTGTTACAGTACATTCCTTTGCTAAGTTCATCATTGCGACTGTAATTTGAAGAAAGACATGATTTTGAATGTTTTTGTTTTCCTTATATTCATAAAATATCCTTTTCATAATGATATTGTCTAACTTAAATATTTTTTAACATGCTGTTTAAAGTATAATTTCACTACAAGTGTATTTCCAAGTACATCAGTGAACAAATTTTACAACTGTTAAGGAAAAAAAGAATATCTTACTCCAATCTTCCCTTTGTTTCTGAAGTTGAAGCTGCGCCTTCCTCGCTTGAAGTCGTGGTTTTTCATAAGCCATAATTTTTGCTTCTTTTTTCAATAAATAATCTGCAAAAGTAAAAATATCCACTGAGACTATTCAGAACAATCCCAGGTTTTAAAATAACATAATTTTACTCATCAATGAATGAAAAATCAGATAAACATCAAGTCTCCAGTGTTCAGCTTTGATACATCTTTTCACTTCAAACTCTTATAAATCATTCATTTTTCTGAACTAAACTAATGTGCATATTTACTGAAATAAATGAAGACTTTCTTTTTCTTTTTAATATTATACATTTGAACCACATGTGGTAGTAAGTTTCATTCAAAACTGTAAGTGATAATTTACTTACTATGGCGCATATAACCATAAGTTATTCCTAATAATAAGGCAGCATATCTTCCAAACTGTTGAAAAAAAAACATAATAATAATAACTAAACCCATTTATTAAAAAAAAAACAAGTCTTATCTGGGTAAATCATGGCAGACTTAATCTCCATGTCTATGATTTCACTGATATAATTTTCACTGATATTACAACAATCCCTGTGTACCATGAAAATCTGACTCCCCCAAAATGTGACTCCCCAGTCAGATTTTCATTATGAAAATGCGACTCCCCAGTCAAATTTTCATAATGAAAATGTGACTCCCCCCATGAAATTTTGACTCCCCCAAAAAAACTTTATAAATCTTATTTTATTTGAGTACATGACTTTTATATTGTGGTATGCATAATGGATAATACATTTGCACTTTTTGTTAGTTTGCAGGTGAAAATTTTAATGAGAAAATAAGAAAATTAAAAATGTGTATTTTATCACCCAATGACTCCCCTATGAAAAAGCTTTTTATTTGATATTTACATGGTGATCATTTCAACATTTGTCCCTTTAGTATACTTTATGAAGAATATATTGGAAATATTTGAAAGTTTGGTGGTCAAATATTGGGTGCAAAAAATAATCAAATGAAAAATCTTTATATTCATACCCATGGGATTTTGGACTCTCATGAAGAAAAGGCACTATTTTATATTAAGTCACCATACCATTGTTTTTCACATGGTTTGCATTGTGACGTGTATTTTGTTAGTATTTAAAAGTTTGGTGGTGAAAGTTTTGGTGAAACTTGATTATTTTTTAAACAAGTATTCATCTTACTAACTGTAGGATTTGGACTCCCATAGCCTTTTCATAGAAGTCATTGGGTGAAAAAAATATTTTAATTTTCTAATTTTCTTATGAAAATTTTCAAAAAGTGCCAATGTATCCTCCATTATGCATACTTCAAGATAAAAGTTATATATTCAAATAAAATCAGTTTATAAAGGTTTGTGAGGGGGAGTCAAAATTTCATGGGGGGAGTCGGATTTTCATTATGAAATTTTGACTGGGGGAGTCAGGTTTTCATGGGAGTCAGATTTTCATGTTACACCTGAACAAAATGGAACCAAAATCTCGGTGAAAAAGAACTGCTTATAGTTAAAAGTTACAACTGAATTTGAAAACTCTAACTTATAATGCTCATTCAATGATAGTAGTTAAACATAAAGGCCAATTTTGTAAAATGCCCATATTATGTACATGAAGCTGATTTCTAATGAAATTACCAGTAGTTTTATAGGTTAAACTATCAGTATCAGAGCTACAATGCAGACACGCTCGGCTGTTTTCGGTCCTCTCTACAATCCAATTCAGGAAATGATGTAACCGCAGAGGTCGCATTGTCCAATGGCATGGCTTCTTTTTCGTAATGGGAGGTTAGAGAGGACCGAAATAAACATCAGAGGTGGAATTTGGATATACGGTTTGATTGTGCGTATGCCATGCACGGAATTTACAAACGAGCAACGGGATGATGTAGCCTGCAGTATTTGTGGTAAGCATGCCAAGTTTTAGGCCGGCAGTATTTTATTTCGATTATTATGTTGAAAATGGTTTATTCTTGTTTCACAAGCTCACTCTATTTTATTGTCTCTATGGAGGTATATGGGGACTTTACGACATTCGGTTTGAAGGCTTTAACCACTTGTTATAGTTTATTTTTGCATTGTATTGGATTAATGTGGCAGTCTAAGGTTGTCCTAGGTGGTTTTTAAGTTTATGCACCCGGTTTTAATATCATTTAGCGATTTTACGACAATCGTACGGTTTACTATCAAATCAAGGTGACAGCCGAGCGTGAATGCAGATCTTAAAACTCAAGACTTGCTAATGCAGTAAACCCTGAAAAATATAATGTCATCGTAAAAGTTATAATCAGTAAAAACTCAAGAATACTTTGTTAAGGAATTCTTACCTTAATTGTTGGGGAAATTGACTTTGGAGCCGGCAATGGCGGTTTTTGGTAGGTAAGTTTCTGGGCCGTGTACTGCTTCGCCATCTTGGGTCCGCTCCAGCTTCAGTACAGTCTCGTTTCGAGTAAAACAAGCATTCATTACTGTATAGGGTGCCTTGGTAAAAGCGAATCCGAGGCTTTATTTCGGAAAAAGACATTCATACCCAAATCCCAGCATGCTGCAATATTCTTTTTTTTATAATGTTTTTTTTTTATCTATTGAAACTCATTGTTTGGGCACAAAATACTTTTATAAACCAAATCCGATATGATAAATATGATAATAATGTAGATAGACAGCCTATGTCCGTGACCTTGACACAGTTTATACGGAGTGCATATGGAACAGCCGAAGTCAAGCAGTTATGGAGCAGTTGTTGATAACTGCTGCGGCAATCCTTTTTGCTCCGGCAGCATTGGGTATTCTTTTGGTTGTTGTGTTGGCATCTGTAGGTCAATCTGTAGGAATTAGGAAGAAATATGTACAGGTTCTCCTAAAAATATTTGAGGTAAGTTAAGTACACGTAACCTGAACTGTCTCAACTTGTAGTCAGAGGTCAAGGGAAAATTTGGATCAAGTTGCACAAAAATAGCTTCTGGTTCTGAAATTTTTGTTTATATAATTTCATAATTATTATATCAATGTTTCTACTGACTTTTTAAGTTTGCAAGGATCTTAGGTGATAAGGTCGTTTATGATGGTTGGGAAGGGCTGGGGGGGGGGGGGGGCAAGCCCAA